AACGGTGAGACAATATGAGGGAGAAGAGAGGGTGCCTCGGGGCGCTGGTACACACAGCTTACTCTACGTTCAGCAAAGCGGTTTAGTTGGAAATGATTGCTTCTTTCAGTCTCTCAGTTTAGCTTTAAACGTGCAACAAACAACAATCTGGGAGCTTTGAGAAACAGAAAAACAGTGGAAACAGGCCAACGAAATGAAACAAACAGCTCAGCAACACTGCAGATTTTTAAGGCACTTACAGAACAGAATCCAGGTTACATGGAGGCAGTGTTGGCAGAAAGGTAGTGGATATAAAAAGAAAAGTTCAGAAACACAAGCAGATGTCATAAAGCATGTAGAGTTTGCCAAGCATCATTTAGTCATGCTTTGTTGTTTTTGTTTACTTAATAAGAAATGTTCAAAACCTTTAAAACCTTTCTCTAGTTGTTTGTTTCACTCCCCAACAGGCAGATGGAGATAACAGGTGTCGACCGCCACATCAGAACAAAGACAGAAGATGCTTGTGATTGTGCAGCCTTTCTTTTGTTAGAAAAACAGACCGAAGAACGTAATCAGAGATTACGCATCCCAAATGTGTATGTGTAGGAGTGAGTGTGAGTGATGTGAAAGAGAGTCACGAACAGATATAGAAACTGGGCTCTCCTCCAAACACAGCAGCAAAAGTGTGAACCGATCAGTTTACAGAGCCTAATGGAGTTATATTACAGCCACTTTCATCAGTGTTTTACCCTGTTAAACACTTCACACTGTGAATCCAGATAATTTTCATATACAGACCTGTTTGTTTCATGTCATGTCATGGTTTTGTGTGTCATTTTTGTTGAGAAAGTTTTCTTTATTCAAAAATGTTTGTCTAATAAAGTAGATGAGCAGCCTAGGCATGCTAGTCACTTGCCTCTCCAATGCTAACGCCAGCTTATCCCAGCTAGTTGCTAGCCTCTCCAATGAATAGTCTCCTTTTCATTTGCTAGTGCCGACCTATCATTAACCAGATCAATAACTAGCTTAGGAAAAGATATAGCCTCTTGCTACATGGATGTAGCGACCTATGATTGTGCAATAGTCTTAATTTTGGCCCTCATACCGTGCCGTAATACCAAACCCACTGCCTGATTCACTAAAAGAGTGCAGCACCTGTTTTTTTAGTCTCCACACTATTTGCAAATGTTTGTCTCAAACATGCAACCACAAAATAGAGAGAAAGGAGGAAACTATATATATTTTTTCACAATGAGCTACAGGTTTAAAGATAAAGAGCAGGAACATATCCTGAATGGGTATAAAAAAGACTGGTTTGTTTGGATTCCCCTGGCACCCCTTCGTGATGATGGAGGATAAGTGTAGCTGCAGTGTTGCCAGATGGGAAATGTTGAATTATCGTTTCAGCAGCTCAAATTTATCGTATTTTGAGGAAAATCATCGTACACACCCAAGTTACATTCTAGAGAGGCTCAAATTTACAAATACATCCTGCTCATCTCACAATATGCTCTGTATTCAACAAACTGCACATTCTTTTGTTTATAATAAAGTTAAAAAGCACTGTTGGGTGTCTGTTTTTTTTTTACAAAAGCTTTATTGTAAACAAGAACAAAACATGGAGTCTGGAGAAATGCTGCATATAAAAAGAAATATTAGATAAAATGACTAGAATAAAATGTAAATTATAGGCAAAGTTAAAATGAAATCAGGAAAAGAACAAATCATTGTAGTTTATTGTACTTTTGATTAGTCAAGAAATAAATTGAGTTCATACTGAGCAAATTAAATCAGCAAGCCTCCAAAATCTGTTTTTTTTCTTTTAAAAAATAGCTTCTGGATGACACCTGGATGTTTATTAAATGTAAATGTTGCTTATACTCCTCACCTTCTCAGTCCCACCTTTTCTTTCTGATTTTACAGTTATTATTTCTTTCACATAAGTACTATTATATTTATCTTTGCTGCTACTAGTTGCCATCATAACCCCAACGTGGGAGGGGGGGTTCTCCCCCAGAAAATTTTGAATGAAGTAGGTGCTGTTTCCTGCATTCTGGTGTATTTGCATGTTGTTAAACATATTTTAAACTACATAAATAAACACTTTTGTATCTATTTTAGAGACAGATTCTACATTCAACTCAATGAATCATCCTTTTTGTGTCTCATTGGACGTTTGATTCTTTGACCAGCTGGTAGGAAGTAGAGTTTTAAAAGGGTTAAAAACGACTGCGTCGTGGCAGCCAGCCGTCTCTTTAGAGACAGTAGTTTGTCAAGAGAACAAAAATAAAGTTTCTTCTGTTGCACCTTTTTTAATATATATAGATTAATATATGTTTTTATTCTACTGTCACAGCACTAACCCTCCTTTCAATTGGCTAGGGACCGGCAAAGGGATCTATTTTAAACATAGAAATGTTTTTATTAACATCCCATCATGGATCAGTCGCAGCAGCAGTATTCATTTCATGTCTGGATGGGATGGATATCTGTCTGCAGCAGGGAGAGACGCAGCGTGAAGAAGCCTCCTGTCGGTGCTCTGGGACCAGGGAGGAGCTCTCAGCAGCACAATGGAGAAATGTGTTCACGGCAGAGTCTCTATGAGTTTCAATAACACCAGAAAAAGAGTCGYTAGATTTTCACTAGTCACTTTTCTGAATAACAGTCTCTAGAGGGTCTGAAAAGTCTGTAAATATAGCGAGAAAGTCGCTAAATCGGCATCGCTGTGTTCCACAACCCGCCACCTCTCATGTCAGCGAGCAGCGTGTCGGGTCGATTACGTCACACATTGGAGCGGTCAAATTTTCGTACATTACGGGTTTTTTGGGATTATTGATCGTACATCGTACAGAGGGCAAAATTATCATACAAATACGATAATTATCGTACACCTGGCAACACTGTGTAGCTGTGATGAAGGTGCTCTGGTCGTCAGTGTGGATGATGATCTGGGCAGAGTATCCTGAGTGAATCCAAACACTGTGTGATAAAGACAGGTTTTATTTATAGACTAATATGTTATCCTCTGGATGTTGTCAGGATCTGTTTCTTTTGTTAGTTTTGGTTTATGGTCTTTTGTATTTTATTAGTTCGTGATTTTTGAGGGGTTCAGCATTAACTCCTCAGTCAGTTCCCTGCTTCACTCAGGCAGCCTGCCACGCCCACTCTCACCTGTTTCCAATCTGTGTTCAGCCCACTTGTCTCCAATCACATCATACCATTGAAGGAAATTTGTGATCAATAAATGGAAGTCTGAATGACATAGCAGAAAACCAGTTGAATCTCTTTAAAATGTTTTTATTCTCTTCTGACTCCAATCAGCTCCATGGCAGCAGTCAGAAGACTTGGTGCCTCATCAGAAAAGCAAATTAGTCTTCTAGCAGCTGCTCTAAGGCTGCAAACTCAATAACTAACACAAAAATATTCTCACATAATGATGAATCAGCCTTTTAACATACAGTATGTCTCTTCCCGGTTACACCCCTGAAGGTGGTAACTTTTACATCAGACGTTGGAACTTTATCAACTTTTGTTAAGACAGAAAGAACACATTGATAAGACACACCGATGCTCATTTGCTTTTTAAACCTTATGGCTGCAATGATCAGAAAGTATAAAAGTACAAAACTGGATTCAGTCAAATCAGTTACAAAATTTCTTTCCCCTTCATCCTCAGCAGTTTTTACCCCTCTTTAAAAAAATATTTGTTTTGAGCTTCTAAAGTCAATTCAGCATCTTTGGGTCTTGATCTGTCAACCATGACATATGTGATTTTTCAGGCTTGAACGTGAGTTAAGTTGTAGATATTATGAATTGGCAAAAATGAACCCAGGGTGCAGGCAGCTTCTAAAAGGAAAAAAATAAAGATTTATTAAACAAAAATTGCTGACAGTGCAGCTCAAAAACTCACTTGTGGCGTGGCGTGGCGTGGCGTGGCGTGGCGTGGCGTGGCGTGGCGAGGCGTGGCGAGGCGAGGCGAGGCGAGGCGAGGCAGCAAACATACAGGCTGTGAACAGCACAATGATCAGACAGGGAAGTGATGACAAGACAGAATATAAAGGTGAGACTAACGAGCACAAACAGGAAACACCTGGGAGAGAAACATGAGGATCAGGTGAGAGTGGGCGGGGCTGGAGCAAAGGCAGACAGGAGGAAGAAAACATGAACACAGACAACAATCATAACAGATATACAGTACATCCAGTGATTACTTTCTTAGTTTTTGTTTCTGTTAACAGACAGACAATCAAACACGTACAGTGGTGATTCCATCACTGCACATCCTTCATGGTGGCTGGCAATGATACCGGTTCATTCTAATGTTGACTTTTATGGAAATATAACAATTCAATAATCTGTCATGCATCTAATCAATGAATGAAAACATGTGAGTGTGAAAACCTGGAGACTACTGGGAACAATGTCCGGCCTGTTAACTCCTGTTTTATACAATGAAAGCTTCTTTTCCACCAAAATAAAGTTTAACAAGAAAAGAGGCAAAGATTTCTAAAACGTTTAAACTTTCTGGATGAAAGAAAAAAAAACACCACATCAAATGAACGGTTTTAGTGATGGTCATCCAACATGGCTGCTGTTTCCGTTCCTATCTTCTAACTTTCTCCATCGTCATTGCAGTTAATGTATTTCCCATTTTCATCTTCTTCATTCATTCCTCTCAATTTGCTCCTTTTCAGCCACTTCTTCTGTAACACATTTGACCTGACATCCCTGAGGATTGTTCCTCCTGTTAATTTTCATTTTTCATTCTGTCATCAGTCCTCCTTTGACCTTTTGTTCTTTTGTGAGTTTTATCCAATCTCACACAATGTTGGCACCTCTTCCTGTCTTTCCATTCTTATCTCTCTTTTACAACACCTGTCGCGGTCACCGTCATGCTTCATTTTTTTTTATTCTAATACAGTTTCTTTTAATGTAATCCTCAAATAATTTCAATGTTCTGATTTTTTTCTCCCTGCTCTCCTCTCTGTCTTGTTTCTTTGCGTCCTCTGTCTCTCTGACAGGGGTGTCGTTCGGGTGGACGTGAACCTACAGGACGTGGACATCGACCAGTGCTCCAACAATGGCTGGTTTGCTGGGACTCATCGCTGTAATCTCACCAGCATGGAGGTGAGTCTCTGTTCATTTTTCACAGTTAGCAAGCTGTGGTTTTCTTTCGTACCAGCATTGCTCTGTACAAACCCAGATCAACGATCATCACATTCAGTCAGTTGTTTTTCACTTATGTTCAATCTGTTCTGTTCAAGATGCCATTAAAAGCATCTCGTTTGCTGTAATTCAGAGAGGACCAATCTATGCAGGAAAAGCTTACAAACAGCATTTCACTGGAACCTTTCTGCTTGACATCACTTCACCTGCATTGGTGAAAGTGACTAAGTGTAGCTCTCACTGGGCTCAACTAAAGTGAAAAAAATCTAGACAACACTTGAATGGTAGCCTGGCTCTTGCCTTCCTACGCAGTTCAGCTCAGTTCTAGATTCCCTTCTCTGCTCTGCTGGGATTTCTCCCACAGACGGGAATTTCTCTGGTAAAATTTCAACTGGGTCAATCAGCGATCAGAAGGAGGAGTTCTGAACGATGATGTTGATTTTCTGCACCGTTTTAGTCTGCCTGTAGTTTAGCAATGGCAGCGGAGGAAGTGAAGGAAGCCAGTTTGTGTTGACAAGGCTTCCAAATTAAATTAAAATTGTCTCTCAAATCCTGCAGCTCTCATTTGCAGCCATGTTGTCCAGCTCGGTACTTCTCTCTTCCCAGTAGGGGATGGTTGTTTACAGCGCACGCCATGTCTGGTTAGCTTCTTAGCTTAGCTTCCTTCATGGTCGAGTTGGCGCACTACATGCATCACGGCTAAATGTTAGCCATTGGGTAAAATCAGATCCAGTCATTTTAATGTTCAACAGAGACTACGCCTTCAGCAAGAAATAATTTTTCAATAGCCGAGAGTCCAGACCCTCTGTACGGAGCAAAGCAAAGAACATGGGGCTGGTTTTTATCGGGCTACTTGAACAGAGGTTATATTTCAAACTGTACTGTAACAGCTTTGGTCATTTCATATCTTTCCTTTTTAGACAACTTCATACCCACAGTAGGAGATGCCCAAATGTTGATTGTTTAATCTACTAAAGTACAGTTTTGAAATGCAGATAAGCAGTTTTAAAACAGTTTAATTGTTATTGTTCAGGATCTCAGGACAGATGGAAAGAAAAAAACACAGCTCAGTTATTATGAAGGATTAAGCTCCTAAAATAACACAACAGTTGGATATGTTTGCCTGAAAACACAATCAGACTAGGTTGTGCTTTCTCAGTATTTCATTTAAACAGTGTTCACTGCAGTTTGCACTGTTTAGTCTCTGCCTGGTGTTGTATGCACCACAACAGACTGACTGAAGGAGTAAAGGTTTCTCCTCTTGCTGCAGGAGGAGGAACTGGTAGCAAAGATGAACCAAATGTGTTTATGCAAATGAATACATGCAACCATATTTCCAGTAATTTATTAATCTTAGCAGTTTGATCTGAAAGGAGAGCTGGTATCTGTAATAACTCAAGAATATGGTGCATGGGTCATAACCATTATACCCACTGATACAAACAGCTTACAAAATGCTAATCACTTTGAATGACATGATAATCACAAAGTAAGAAGTGAGGGTATTTTCTTTGAAGAAGCAACTGACTGGCATCTCTGCTACAATAAAAAAATCTAAATATTTTGTTTATTTTAATCAAAATGACATGACAACACAAAGAAACTTCTGTTGATCATCTAAATTCAAACACTAAGACATATTAGTAGCACTTTGTAATAACTACACCTGATTTAGCCTTACTTAAACATTAATAAAGGGTTAGTTAAATGTGAAATCAAGAAATAAAATACAATTTTTTTAAGTGAAGCCATTTTGTTTATTTAGTTAAATGATTAAGCAAGCAGCCACTGCAGTGGTCTATGTTAGTTTGCCTTTTTTAGCCTGTGCATATGGAGAAAGTTTAGTGTGCGCTCAGTCAGCAAAGCTCATGAGTTATTAAGTATGAATTAACATTTACTATGTTGGCTTTAGAAGTAATTAGACTTTATAGGTAAAGCATTAATAAATATGTTAATTTATAGTTTATTAGGAATCATCCTTAATAATGTTTTGAAGGTTTTTTTCTTAATGATTAAGTAAAGCTAAATAAGGTGTAGCAATTACAAAGTGTTACAGACATATTGGAATATAACAGCTCAAATAGTATAGCATTTTTTTATGTAGGCAAAGACATATTGTGTACACGTTATGCAAACAGCTTTAATTTATGACTTACTGTGATTGGTTAAAACACAAAGAAAACAAATCAACAACTGTACAACATGAGTGCTGCCATCAGGGTTGTTATCTGCAATTATAAAGGTTGTCATGCTGATGTGTGAGAATGGAGGTTATCAGTGTGACGGAAGCAGCAGGCGGCAGATATCATGTTTTATCACTGAGCGTGATGGCAGACAGGGAACGAGGAGATAGATGTGTAAGTTGTGTCTGTTGGAGTGATATGGATGTGTGTGTGTGTGTGTGTGTGTGTGTGTGTGTGTGTGTGTGTGTGTGTGTGTGTGTGTGTGT